ATCATGGTCTAGCTTGGATCGACTCATGAATTCAACTGTAAATAATTCAGATATGATTTTAATTTATTTGTGGTGTTAAATAAGTACTCATTTACTGTCTTCTTGTTCGTGGGTTGTATAATTCACATGTTCAAAGTCAATACCAGTTATCTTCCATTACAACAAGTGTAAACATGTTTTTGAGGATGAAAAATGAATTTCTTTATTTGATTTTCATGTTCTTAAATTTGCATTGCGGGAATTTTAGCAAACTTTAATTCATTTATCGGAATTATTTACTTACTGTTAAAACATAATTACTTTTCGAACAACAAGTCAATTATTTCAAAATTGTTGAATAATATTTGTTGAAAAATGAAATATTTCTTAGTTCTGTTGATCCAATAATGATCCACTCTTCCTTAGGACTTCGTTAATTTTCAGAGACGAAATGTATTCTCCATGGTTACTATGTATAGCTATTTCTTAAGCGGTGTTGGGTAAGAGGTGTATATTAGAAAGGGTACTTATATTCGGTATAAAAATGATTTATAATTTCGACACAAGAAGAGAGGGTTATTGGAAAAAATGAAAATATCTTTGAACGTTCTACTGGTCAAGGGGTCAAACACGAACTGACTCTAGATGACAGATCGTTTTTATTAAGAAATAGATCAGCAAGAGACACTATTCAATGGAACAGCTGCCGCTAAACTTCTAAAAATAAAGTTAGGAATAACTCAAGAAGGTAATGTTTTTATATCCGAACGAAGAACTATTCATGGACTATTATTACATATGTTCTTGTTGGATAATTATTAAGTAACTAGATTATGTATGTATTTATACTACTTTTATTTGATTTATTAGCTGGTGCTATACGATTTACTATCATTAACTTATTCGTAATTTATTAGTCACAGTATCCCACACTCACAGCAACTTTTGGCTTGGCCTTGTATAATTATTATTTCTCATTTTATGGTGTGATGCGGTGTGGTCTGATTGTATATAAACCACGTGTCTGAAATTTACTATTCATATAGCTGAGCTTGATATTTGTGATCTGGACTCTACGATCTGGACTAAGTGAAAAGCTGCTTTAAAAATGACCAATAAAGATGCAGAGTTGATTCAAAGCTCTTAGTACTGGTTGGCATGTTATTGATTTAACACAGGGATAAGGTCATAGAAGTCGGTATTCTGATTAGCAATTTTCTCACGTGATATTTGACGGGTCAAAGAACATAACAGATGCGTTGGAAAATCTCATATTTTTCGGAGATTAAATAATAATTTCGCAAAAACAATTTATTTGAATCTCTATTCCAAATACACACAATTTAATCCGGTCCTCTGAAATCTGTATGTTTAATGAGGGATTACAAAGGATAACTCAAAATGTTTTGTAACACTCCTTTTACTTAACGCTGTATCATCGTCAGTCGAAACTTAGGTTTTCTTCGTTTTATCAGTTATTACAGAATGGTTTCAACTATTTTTTTTAAAAAAGGAAATTAAAGCATACTTCTGTTACGGATCATATTTCTGAATCGTATAGTCTACATCATTAGTAATAAAAAAGATTCATAACACCAACATTTAAGATAATTCAAGTTATGAATTTTTCTAAATATCGTTAACTTAGTTCTAAAATGATAGATTTAAAAAAGTAATTAATAAACAGTTTGAATGTACTGTTCATTTCACTACTGTTAATGAGATTCGGTGTATTATAAGAATTGTCTACTTGAATATTAGATCATACATAATAATAGTAGGAAGAGCTGATAATTTAGTGAAATCATTAAGATAATATTAATTAAATTCTACAAACATTTGTATAGAATAGTGTATCGTGACAATTTCTTAAACAGTGAGATTTATTCATATTATATGAACATAACTATAGTAAGCTTATATAACCAATTACAATGATTTCATGACGGTGATAATTATTGATGAATTAAATATTAGAACAGTAAAATTATCAAATTCACTTGGTATTGTTTGGCTTGCATCTTCCCATTGAGGTTTAAGACTGCAATTGATCAGTCTGTTATTGGCATATGTGCATACTGTGCGTATGCTTCGATATTGCCTTAAGTCACAAGCTTTTTGTAAGCAATGATGGATAGTGGCTAACGGTGGAATATCAACTCTGAGATGCGGGTATATCCAGCTGACGAGTCCCAAATAGGACGAAACGCGCGTCCTGCATTCCACTGCTAGCCACTATCTATCATTGCTTAGTAAAATTATCAGTCAGCATATTTGCTGGGATGAATTTCATCAAAGTAGAAATAGGTATTCATTGAGAATAAAATGTAATAATGAATGACTTAAAATAGGATATTGTTAAAAAATTCCTATTTACTACATTGTATTTTATGTTGGACACTAATCTTATACTGTAGATCTCATAACAGCAAAAAAGCGTGGTAATTTATTTGAAATGTATATCAACATTTTGAATGTCAATCTTATGTTCATGATCTTTCCTCATGAAACTTTACACTAATGATATGTAAATATTACTTTGATCCCGAGAACAGGGATAAGTCACCAAAGACCTAGAATCCATTAATACATAGTTACACAAACAGACAAATATGCCTTTCATTTTTAAGTTATGATGAATGTTCTAATTACTTCGCTCATCGAGCTATTTAGATGTCTTTAGTTTATTCCGTGTTGAGGTAATGAGCTCACGTTTTTTGAAGTGTCCTTTAAAGCTTCCCAGTGCTATTTTGATTCCCAATTAAAAATCAATCAGTGAAAAGAACTAACTTAATTTTTAACAGTTGTAGAATGATTAGTCAAATATTCAAATATCTTATCACAACTTCCTATATGGTTATAATAACATCAAATGAATCAGATTTTCATATTATATATAAACACACCGAGTTTAGACCGATAGGTAGATCGAAGACCGATCTACAAGGAATCAATCAGTCAGTCATATGCGAGCTGGAAACACTCATACGTTGGAAATAATCATGGGAATTGTGAAAAAACCTAAGTCTTATTTATTTGTATTCCAGTTAGTTAGTTATACGGAAAGTAGAATCTAGCACATTTCTACATTGGTTCAAATTGCCACACCACTTACGCGCAGAGAGATTCCACAGTATTAGAAGTAGTAACAATATTGGTGGTAATAGAAAACGCTAGATATAAGAGATAGAATTTGGAAAGAAAATATGGATTCATGAAATAAAAATCATATTTCAGGCTAATTAAAAAAATTGATATTTAAGGGAAGAAAAAGATTGGAGGCATTTGAACCACATAGTTCAAATACTTTAACTATTGGTCACAATAATTGCGCTAACTTCAACCAGGTAGTTATGCCTACCGACACCACCTAGTCTAACGGTTAATAACCTCATGAATTGATACCACGTCTTGGTCTGGAGATCGCTAACTTTCTTCTAACGTACTTTTACACTATTCATTATAGTGTATGAAGGTACCTGGTGGTCGGGGATATATAGCACATGTCTCCACTACTTTAGTTACCGAAGATTCACTTACTCATCAATCGAATAATCATCCTTACTTAGTTCTTTGCGTCTAAAATCAGCATTATTTTATCTATAATCTCAACATCATGAGCCACACCTCAAAGGTATTTATGATCAAATACTAGTAACCTGAAACCAACCTGACTTTTCCGCGTTTGTTATTTACGAGCCGTAGATGACCGTTGGATGATGATTGAAGATAACACTTTAGATATTACACTGATCAAACCGATTGCTCTGTGGCTGTTACAAGGACTTCTATCCTTTCTTATAAACTTGGACGACCAGCAATCTTGATGTCAGATGCGATTACGACTAGATCCAATGCTAACTAATATCTCAGTCAATCTGCAAACTGAAACGCCACCATCCTTAAAAATCTCTGGGGTTAACCTATCATGAACAGTAGCTCTACCGCAATTTAGATTAGTCACCAAGGGCCCGAGAGTGTATTCTAATCTCCCGTTCGGGTTGTTTATAAATAGTGGGTAGCCGCAGGCCAATTTGAATTTTTGATTAAATATTTCTAATCTGGACCGAGACTGAACAATGGTTCCGTCTTGTTCTGAAACTTTCACTAACAGTCGGATTTGCTATGCCTGTTTCTTTGATTAATTTGAATAGTTATCTACCACCGCTACTTTGTCTATTGCTCACAATCATTGTTTGAACTGTCTTCGCTACTGATCAGGTTCGGGACCTGACGAGATTTGTTTCTGAGCGTCTGTCCATTCATTAGGTGTCACAAAAGTCCGCTGGTATTTCTTTACCACTTGGTTTAGGTTTCTGGTAGATCTCACTACTGTTGGGATATCATGCTAAGCCAACTAGATGTAGACACCACTTTCATGATTGACGAACTATTTTTGTAGATGTATCTGAAACACACTCTTGACGTCTTATCGTTGACATGAACTATAGTGTCTTCTTGATGTAGCTGTTCTGGGTCTAGTAAGATCCAGGCAAACGTGTGATCGCACTGAGAAATGATTAGTCTGAACATGATCTTCAGAATGGGGAAAAACTTTCAGTCGAGTCTCTGTATCCATAGTAATTTGTGTTGACATTAGTGATAACCATGTCAATGACTATGCTGAAAGTTGGTTTTTTCCAAAAATCAACATTATTTGAGCATAGTTATAGCAAAAGGTTACCGATCTGTTCATTAGATATATAGGCTAAACTAAATTACAATACACCTAAAATTCAATGCACATTGACCAGTCACAATAAGCATAATGCCTGTAATGAATATGAGTCAACCTATGTTGCTACATAATATCATCATAATGAGACAGAATGAACGAGATATTTCGGTCTTACTATTAACGTAGTAATATACAATCACATTTTGTTTTCTTTTGTTTTGACTCACACGCTATTTCTGTTTGAAGTTTAATGTAAAATAATTTGACTACAGTAAATCTTAAATATTAGTATTTCTGTCTACTTAGTACAACTTTTTTTTTAAATACAAAACAGAACAGTTTACATATATGATAACCGTATTATATTTAATTAGCCAATGAGCATTTTTAATAACATATGACATTGTAAAATGGTACCATTTATTTGTATGAAATATTTACAAGCTCTACAAAAAATGAATTCATACACAATTTCATATGAATAGAAATCTGTAGTAGTATATGTACAAAGGTATATTAATAATAATAAGTGAATTGATTCAGATGTTAATGAGATTGAGCGCTAAGTGAAGATATATCACCTTTTAAGACAGCTTTTAAAGCAGCCAAAGGATCTGCACTAATTGTTGAGTTGGACAAAATTGACTCAGTTTTCGCCGAAGTATTAAATTCACATTCAGGTTCCGTATTTGACGGTGACATCTCTGATTCACATTGTTGTGGAGAGGTAGAAGGTGAAAGACCAGGAATAACTGTATTCGTTGAAAAATCATCACAAGTAAATGCATTTTCATCCCCGGCATCTTCTTTAACACCTTCAGGTGAGGAAGTTGATTCTGTATTATTTTCAGTAGGATCAGGTGAAGGAAATTTCTTTTCCTAGAATAAATTCAAATATTAATTGTGTAAAGCAAATAGTAATGAACAAAATATCTGATGTACAACCAAATAGCAAAAGTAACATTGATCCATGAGCTTAAGAACACTTGAGTGTACAATATTTTGGGGGAAGACATCAAGTTAGTCATCCCATTTTGTTACAAATATTTAGAACTCAAGATGGTCGAGGAATCTGTTATTAGTCAAGTGCTGTTAGAGATATGAGGGTGGTTGTCACTTTCTCGTTACACACACTCCTGAAGGATACTTCTTCATGAAGGATCAGAAGTGGAAACTCGGTACCGCCGAGAGTGGGGAGAGTCCGCTCTCCCTCTCGAAATGCTCTCACATGGCCACGCGTATATAGCCTCTGCCAGTGAAGTCCTACTCACTGCCTTCTCGTGGCGGGGTAGTTGTTTACGAAAATGAGAGGACGAAAAGCGAATGTCCGGCGCTTTAACCGGACCCCAAATCAATGGTGCACATGGGCTAACTCCAGTATCCTGAAGGAACAAATGGCGTATGAACCAATCGTTGGTCACCGGCTACCATGAGACTGCATCTCCTCACGATGCCCCACTGCCTTGTGGGTCAGACATTCAGGTCGAAGGCTCGGGGTGTGGCCCCCTAAGAAAACCACCTGTTTCGGTTTGGGCACCCGAGCAGTATCACAGCCCTCACACAAATCAATTGAGATTCATGTGGCGCATATGTATTTGGTGCCTCCTTGTACCAATATCTATGTGTTAAAATAAATAAATAAATAAATAATAAGGGGTGGTTTTAGCCTAGGAGTGCGACCGCAGAGTTAAAGACATAACTACTTGGTTCTGACCACACATAGCTTTTACGTGAATTGACCCAGATGTATCAGCTTTGTACCTTTTAAAACTTACCGTCAGTGATAGGGACCCGCGGGGCAAGGTGTTATGCGGTACTTTTAGACTCAACCTTCTCTGATCCCTTTCTTTCATTGTGAGGATGTAGTATCGCTGGAGAGGTTAGTTTTTTTAAAGAAATACTTTACTACCATCACATTTAAGTACAGTTCTCAGAACAACTTTGCTCTTGGACTTTGAGTTTGGCACCTTTAATCTTACTGCTCTCTAACTATATTCTACGTATTAGCACCCAAATAACAAGTTTCAGCCAATATAGCTCGATTATATCTTTAAGATATTCCAATCCGACTACCAAGTCACGGTATCAGATGAGGCCGGGGATCTGTTACTAAATGAATGTATACTCCAAACTTGCTATACTGTTTGTTCACTACAGGACTTTAAAAATTGAAGCACCAGTTAGGGAATTCAGTGGTCAATATATGAAAATGAAATATTATTAACTAGGGTTTATCAGACATTAAAAATCAGGCGTTCCAGAATTCATAGTAATTTAATTTAAATTTACCATTCATTTAAAATTGAGTGTACAATCACCTTTGTCAGATACGCATTTAAATGTATTATAAGGGTAATAACAAAGAACAATTTTATACAAGTTAATACGAGAAAAATCGACCTGCGATAAATTCAACTTACATCTTTAATTGAGAATTCTTTTCCTGCATCTTCTTGACAAATAGGATGATATACCTTGTCATCAACTCGAATAGCATCTTGTAGCATCCATTCTTCTTCTTCATGATCCCAAACTACTTCAAAACTTTCGTAACACACAGCACACACCTTGAATAACAAAACATTTCAATAATAATTATATGCAAAAATTATGTTTGAAATAATCTCAGCGATTGAAATTTAAATAATTTCAACGTTTCGTCCAGCTAACTTGTCTGGACTTTTTCAGGGTAATAATCAAAATATATTGATAATTAATTGGGAATGAAGCACTTCAAAGATATAAAGTGAACAACGTAGGGAGAAATCTAAAACACAAACCGACTGAAGAACGTTTGGTCTCTCGAAATGATTCTTTGGAAAAAACCTACAATAGAGGAGCACGTTTATTGCTGAACCAAATCCACAAATATAAATATATGACTGTACGATTATACAGCTTTAGCACATGAAATTGTCGGGAATTTTTTTCAGTGAACTACCTTTCCTTCCTCAAAAGGATGAAAAGAGGAGTTTCAGTTTCAACTGAGAATAATTACATGTCGCGTAACCTTTAGGTAGATAAAACATAATTTTGTGCAATATTTCAATGGTTAAATATGTCAAAGTTTGATAAATAGAGAGGATAAGCAGAAATAATGTATAAAAATGGATAAATAAACAATAAATGGAATGTGTAATATAGAAGACTAATGAAGCTTTGAAATGAGCTCTAAATGCGAACCTGTACGTATTGTAGACTGACTACGCTAAAATTTAGTTCAACGACAAAAATCAAGTCAGTATTCAGATAGAATGCTAGGATGCCGCTATGACACTCTATCAAGCCCAATTCAGAATTACATTACTGTTTGTATCTCATTGAGTTTAGTAAGGTCGACATGCAAACTGTTGTTAACATAATCAATTATAGAATAAAAGTATGTGGAAGTACTTTAAAGTTGATTTAGATAGTGATAGTATTTTTACCGGTTGCAATACCATTACAAGCATAACAGTAAATCTGCTCTCTGAGAATGAAATATACATCAGTGTCAAAAGTTTCCATTAAACATAAACTTAAAACTAGACTATTAAAAAACTGCCATGTTCATTTCTTCGCACTGTTTCATACATTAAAATCTATGATGACTCTGATTACTGAACTGACGACAATAGAGCTATCTTATTGTATATGGTAGGCCATTAATTGTCTTCTAGATAACAGACTGTCAACCGCTTAACTACGAATCAATCCCAATCGCCTGAAGTTATATTTAAATGTTAGGTAATTATCATTAAGGTTTTAAACGATTGTTTAGATACTTGGTTAATGCTATTATGATCACAGCTAACATTTATTTATTCCCTCTACCGTTTCTAAAACTGGTCAAATCTAATCAGTGCATGTCCATCGCTGCTGCGCTCGACCAGAACAAATGTAACAGATATTTACTATACGTATACACAGATATCTATCAATAAAAACGATGAGTATTTTTCAAAAGAGCAGTGTACACGGATAGTAAAAAACAAATTGTAGAAGTGATGAATTTAAGAAATCTGGATTGTGTCAACCAAGCGAAAGTAAACGAAAAACGTGATTAGACCTTACACCTACTTTGAAGCACCAGATGAATTGGAATTAACAGTTCCCAGTAATAAATTTGACATAAACATCCGATAACCCTTACATTAACAACAAAACAGTACTATATATATATATATATCCCTCAGATGGTGTTTACAATAATACAAGACAACTGAGATACAGTAAAGTATCAAGTCAAAATCTGCTAGTCGGAATTTGGTTGTTAACACTTACGTTCATATGATGTATTGTGACGTGTAACCCAGATGTCTTCTACATTTTAAAAAAAACACTCAAAGAATGCGTAATCAAAATGCTCCACACTTTAAGCTAACGGTTCTAAAAGTAAAATATTTAATGGATATTTGCATATTGGCTTACATAACAAGTAGTTAAGACCTAAAAATTGTGAATTAATGATGGAAGAACGATCTCATACATTCTTCATTAGTTTACAACATGGAACAAACACACATGGACCCATATTGCTATCATCTAAGATGATTGACACCTTTATATTTCCAGTTGGTTTTTCAACATTTATGTATTGAAAAAACCAAGACCAAAAGTATTAGTAGAAATCCAAACATTATGTGTATGAGGTTCACGAAATTTAAGACGACTTTGATTCTACTTCCGGATTCTTGACCAGTGAGTGATATCACGTTAACATGGGCGTTTCCATTTCCTTCAATAGGATAGAAATTGAGAAAGCTTAGATACGATCAAGCTTTTTGATACTGAAGTACGTTAATTACACCGGATCTGTTTACTTTGGAAAGGGCAGTTACCTCTTTAATACGCTTGATTCATCAAGCAATGTCTATTTTCTATAGTATGACGAAAGAATGTGCAACACATAAGACTGTCAGGATTCCAGTACTTTGATCCATATGAAGTTATCAAGTATCCTTATCTAGCAGTATTACCGAGCACCATCTCATTTGATTCGATTAACTCTGGACTCTATATGAGGACATTCATTTTACTTTCATGAACCAACACTTCTTACAGAACTAGGTACACCCTTCATTAGGGTGGGTCAACTGACTTAGTCCATCATAATTCTCGGAGCTTGTCGAAAATAAGTCTAAAACCAACACGCCATAACCAAACAAAGTGAAGACACTGATACCCATGCACTTATTTTAACCTCTTTCCGTTTCATAATTCTCAGGAAAATATTAGCACAGGAAATTATATGGAGAACTAGTATTCTATAAAACTGAGCTTAGTTAAAATGAACCAATTAGATATATTTCTTTTATTTATTAAAGGATTAAATGATGTGAAATTGAAACACATTTTCTCAAAACCGATTGTTTTAAGTGCAGTTAATGTCAACATACTATATACTAAATGATGGTCTGATTGTTATTGTATGTGAGCGAAGCCGACTCTCATTAGGACAGAGTTATCGTAAGCAAATAGCTATACAAGGCACAAATTATCTAAATTGTTCCGGGTGTTCACGAATAATATAAAACTGTCAAGACGCGCATTTATATATATATATATATATATATATATATATATATATATATATATATATATATATATATATATATATATATAGTAGAGAGAAAGGGGGAAGAAAACGGGATTCAGGTGAGGTTGGACTAAATATTCTACATACCTCGTTTGATAATAGAGTAGTTGTGAGCATCCACCGCCATGCTTATTCTGGTCATCTTACCAGCCCGGGTGTAGTGGTATTTGAAAAAGTTTGGATGGAAGCATTAGTTTGTGTTCCACTTATTTTCACTATCTGGACCTAAAGAGACGTCTATCTATCTACTTAAAAACAATTAAAATGCTGAGTAGCCGGCACAATCGGTCTACGACGTAAATCATGGTGAAGAACAGTGGGCGTGTTGCTAATATTCAATCCTGTGTGCTTTCAAAGAAGTGGTCATGTATTTTGGGGTTGATATGACAGTAAAACACTAAATGAAGAGGACAGTTAACCTTCACTGATGGTCGTTACATGTTGTGGGTGCCTGAGTATCGTCTGCATTTACATATATTTTTCAAGATTAACATCCAGTTAAAAAATACTCAGGTGGTGGGAAATGCCATTGAGGTTATCGATGATATCCCATTAGTTAAGGTAATTATTGACGAGCCGAATACATTTCTTGACAGGAAATAATTAGAAAGTTTAGATTGGGGATAGAGCTTATTCAGTCGTTTATTATTACTGATCTTAACGACTCAATGATAGTATCTGTACAGGAAACAATCACTCCGTTCCCTGAATCATCCTAAAGCGATCGCAAATGAGTGACGATGTTATTCTTTTTCGGCTTACATCGAATCACACGCTCCGAAATATGTATATTAATATTCTTCAAGTCATAACTAATCACCACTACGCGTGATTATCTCGTTTGAAGTCACTAGCGATACACAGTCACTTTTATTTAAGTTTGATAACTTGCATTTCGTAAACAAAGTCAGAGGTTACGATAAATTGCGTTAACCATATCTACTGGTGTCTACTTGAGCTGTCCAAATCTTTTACTATTATTCAACATATTTTTAGTTACCGTATTCTGCATCAAGGCTTTCGGAAATCGTTTTCTTGAATTAAAACTCCCTAATAGACCTGAAGTGCTAAAATCACATAAATCCGTCTCGTGAAGGTGTCGAATACAGTCTTACAAGCTACTTGAATAATAATAATAAAAATAAAACTTTGCAGATGCAGTTCTCCATCCCCTCTTAAGTGCGAAATGTTACAATCCGACTGATACTAAAAAATACAGTAAATCAGTAGACCGTATGGACCAAATGAATTGTTGTGGTAGTTTCCTTAGTTCTCGTGATTTAGTAACCAATTTTGTTCTTTTCTCTACCAATTTTTTATTTCAAGATTTCACTACCAGCCGTATATTATATTTCTACTCCTGTGAATTTGTTCATGTAGCAGCAAGTATAGCAATCCGAACTAACAAATATTTATTCAAGATCCCACGTTGTGTATCTGTCTGTTGTATCAATTCCTGGAATTCTTTGTCTTGTTTTTTAGAAAGATGAGACGATTTGAATTAGAGCACCAAATCGTATCAATTCGATACGAACGCCAAAACCTAAGTAATATCCTTCTGAGTTTACAAAAACAGCCTTAGAAGATTTACCAAGGTAAACTATGTTCATTTCAAATCATAAACGAAGTGAATCCAAGCGACTTCGACGGATAAGCAAAGCAGTTTGATCAAAGACATAGACCAGTATTTAGAAAGTTACTGGCTTTAATTCAACGTCAAGTTATGTAATTATCTTTTACAACACATGTTGATTACAGGTTAGTACATCAAACCTATATGGTACCACCTATTAGCATTATTTTGGCTCTAAAAAGAGCTAACAAAACGATCGCTAGCTTTTTGTTATCCAAGACTAGAATGAATCTCTGTATTAGTTACAGAAATCGCAATGTAAACTGAGTACCAATATATTTCCAAAAAATAACTTAAAGCATCAGAAAATTTTGAGTAATACATTTAAAACTAGCATGTGAGATAAATAATTCTAAAGTCACTAAAAGCGCATTGCTAACATATTAATCATAGGAAGCAGAAATTTGTAACTACTGGATTCGACGTAACGTGACTCGGTTTGTCAACTAAGTCTACTGACCTTGTTTGTAAAGACAAGTGTTATCAACCAAAATGGCTGATATACAAAGTACTCGATAGCATTTCTTCAGTTCCTAAATAAAATTTGCGAAATACTGAGGGAAGGGTTAAAGGGAATGGAGTCATAAAGCCACACACCCCCCATGATTTTTTATCTGGATAACCTCCCAAAGTACATACCGCAAGTGTGAGGATTTCTTGGTGCTATATTGGACCAGGCGATAGCCTTGTCTGATAAGAATAAAATTATATATCGCCACAAAAGTAGTTTCTGAAACGAAATATGTCAGCTGCACACACAGGAATGAGATCAAAGTCACTTTCACTCACATTTATAAATCATACCTCACTGCTTGGCCAAGTTTTCTTTTTTAGGGAAGATAACAATCAGGACGAGAGAACGTTTCCTAATGGTACCCTTCCTGAAACTAACATTAACAGAAATTGTTTATGCCTACCGCGGACTTCACAGCAGTAACAATCTACCATTCCATACACATATATGGACCAAGGAGTTAATACATACCGATAGACACGTAGATAAACGCGGTCACCATATTATCCGCTATTTATACAACTAGCTACGGTATTGAACACTTTATCAACTTCAACTTTTAAGATCAATACAACTACATTCCAACCAAGTATCTACAAACGACAATAAATTACAACGCTGGGTATCGCAATTTACAAAACGTAGGAGAAGCTTAAAACAACCAATAAAACACAATGTGAAATTTCTAAACGGTAAAATGTAAACCACCAGAGTATCACGTTACTAGAAGGTAAGAGTCGCGTTTTGCGACCAGCAATTTTAAATTTGTTGGTTCTAGATACTGTTGGGTACGATAAACAGAACTACTGATTATCCATTGATTAACCGTATTTCAAAAGATACCATTGAGTCATCCTAAAGAATACTTAGAACTGAACCTCAAATTTCGACTGACTGTAACTTTATTTTATAATCTGCCTTATTAGAAAGCAATAGAAGTCTTGGTATTACGAATTTTCCAACACCGTTACCCGGAAATAAATTTATTTAGAAATACTACGACAGTGTTAAGAATTGTGAAATAAATGATAATTCAGTTCTATCTTTAATACAACGCGATAACTGCAAAACATAGGAATGCTAAGCGGAAAGTAATCTTTTTGTAAAATCTATGATAACTATCCAGAAGTTTCAATAGGATTACTCTGACCAAAGTCAAATGTATTCTATTGGGTTTAGGGTAATTTAGGGAGTACTATTTATAAAACTGTTGAGTATGATATAAATATCACAGATAACCTAGTAAGGCTTACGAGATATCAGTACTACGATAAGGTCTATATGAGCACTTCGTAGCAGTCCGAATTTTATTTTAACAAGAGTATGTTTCTGGTACTATTAAAAGCAATAAGATTCCAGTGCACGAGCAAAAAAAGTAGTGAGGTCCTAGGATAGTATTCTTCACGATGATTTTACTTATCTGTATTCAACGAGAAGCTGATAATACTAGAGTCTTTTTCTGATTCATACATGCATATATCTCTTTACTGCTCTACAACGCATTCTGACACTTATTCAAGTAGTTACTACTTTGTCAAGTTCTATAGTCTATATTGTCTAGCGGGATTCTACAAAGGCAGAAATGTTATCCTGAGTGTAACCTGTGAGAAGTTAAAAAGTGAAAACTAAAGTGATAACTGAAAGTGACTTACATTTTTCGACGGATCCGCGAATGCTGTGCATTTGTACTCTTGTAAATCGTGGATCGGACTACCAGGCTCGAACTGAGGGGCGCCCTCTCGTGTCATTTCACTAATTAGCCAATACTGTAATGGTTGATAGAAATTACGGCTGCGTCGCTCTTGTCCATAACTCGAATTCTTCATATAATGGTAATCAAGGTGCTTTGCAAACTCCGGTGAAAGGTCACTTTGGAAACGTAGACCACACTGACCACATTGGTGACCATTATATAATTCGTCAATCTCAACACCGAATGGATTCTTAAAACGCTCCCAGCTGTAGCTCCCTAGCTCAGGAGGTTCTGGTTTCTTCTCATGTTCTGTACTGGGCACTATACCAGCTTTAACCAACTTTTTGAATAACTCATGCACATCTATATTAAGCGGAGTACTTGTATTTGATGAGCTCTCATCTTTGTTTGGTATAGGTTTTTCGCTCTTACAACTGGTATCAGGGTTGACAAACTCTGGTAATTTTTGTCCATTACTTTGATTACTGATATTTGGAGTATCTGTAGGACGCATAGGTGACAGTCGCTTTCCATTGCCTACAGGTCTGTTTACAAAAGCATGGTTTCTTGAACTATATCCATGTTCGGCGAGACGTGCAAGTTCCTTGATTGGATTGAGTGGTGCCATAAACAGGTTTTTAGGTGAACCAAACAAACCTTGACCTGCCCACTTCAATAGACGAGGAGGAATAGGTGGTAAGACATTAACATTCCTTGGCACATTTCCAACAAATTTTACACCGACTGAATGAAGACCGACATTTATAAAAGTTAGGTGAGATGTTGTAGGTACAGTGTGTGGACGACCATCGATAACAAGTTCATGACCCGGACCACCTAGGTATGCCACATAGAATCTAGGTCCAATGGAAACACGAGTAAAACCTGTGCCAGGAATGTTGAAACAATGACCATCAATAACAATAGTAGCAAACTCACACCGGAATCGTACAGCATGTATGCGATCCCCAATTGCTATCAATGGTTGAACTCTATCTAATAACAGTGTGAACTGTTGACCATCAATAGTTATCCGTCTTGGTGGCTTGGGATGAGTTACAAGACTGAGCATTCGTGGATCGACGCCAATATTAACCATGTCTGGAAATCCATTGATTTCAACACTCCATACAGGACCACGAATCGGTGGCCCACGAATAGGTGGGATTGCAGGTGGCTGGAAGGATGGATTTAACTGTGGTCTTTCTCTGGGGAAATCTGTAATGCGAGGTGGTGGATGATGTTCCTTCACTGGTACGAAATTATCTACTTTCGAGTATCGAGGTGGAATATTTTCAGATTTCAAAACTTCAGGGCGTAATTTTATGTCTGGATTAGAATTACTAAAACTCTTTCCAGACTGTACTTCACTCGGTGGAATGCGTTCTTCTGATGTGTCGTACATGGATACAGGAGGGATTGGTGGTACGGCGTCAGGTTTATTAACAGCTAACACATCTAATGGCCCTTTCGATATCTTCTCAGAAATATTGAAACTTGGAGAACAGGCAAGTGGAGGGTCTGACAGGGCAAAACGCATATCTATGTCTTTCGTTTCTCGTCGAGAACAGACTTCACTATGCTTTCCAATGTAATCTGACCAACCTGATGATCTAGCGGGAGAAGGTGGAACAGTGTTTTGTGAACGCATATCACAGTCCTCACCACCAAACAACATAACCTTCTTAGACGACTCACTAGCATCCGCCTGTTTACCTTGTTTTCGAGCAACTGACTCCATCTTTTGATCACCTGAACGGTCGATAAGGTACTCTTCAGATGAATGAGCTTCTTGGGGTGACTTTCGTTTCCGATTAAGCCGCGGATCACGTGAGGCCGAGATAACGGTCTTCGTCGTCAAAGAAGTTTCCTTCGCTTCCTGCTTGACACTAACTATCACAGGTTCCGTTTTAGTTTGTATTTTTGGGACATTTGGTAGAGATCTAAACGCAGCTTTCGCTTCAGGAGCGCTGGCTAAAAGAGGCCAAGCTGGATCATGCTCACGCACTCGAATATCCAATTCATACATCCTAGAATTTGGAAATATATCTTTCCATGTTGTCCTCAAATTGTACAGTTTCAAACGCCCCTTCTCATCTCGTATCTAAATAGAGCATTAAGACAATTTCCGCGCAGTAACTTACCGACTGAAAAGAATGCACAAAGGCATCAACAATATCCACGGTATACAACTTTCTGTAGGGTGTACCTACATTTTTAACTATTGAGTCGATTACGTACAAGCCAAGTAGCTTCAATCCTGCCGGTATCTGTAATAAAAGGTTTGATAACTGTATTCCAAAAACAACTCGTTTTTCGTGAAACCTACAACGCTACCTAATCAATATGCGTCTCACGAGGTTCTACACGACTATCAATATACAAAATCGCATACGAAGGCTAGATTAAGCGCTTAAGCAATTAGTTATCGCTTCGCCCAAACCCAGCACCCATATGATACAAAAAATTCAAAGCTGACAAAAGCGTTTATTGTTCTTTTTTTCATCTGTACAGTTATGCACAGGACATAACAAGTAGAAGATACTAAATAACTCACCATTTGAACATGCTTAAGAGTAAGATCCACAATGCTCTGAGCAACCCCGACGGCATCTTTATGATCGCGCGCAAAGATAGTCAAAGCATTTATTTTGTACTTATCATTGTCCTTGAGATTTTCCAAATCCTTTTTGAAGGTTGATAAAAGATCACTAGCCGACGCCATTAAGGAGCCAAACGTCGAGCCAGTAACGACGAAAACGAAACAACCTGGGGAGAGCGCTTATTGATGTCAAGGACAGATCGAGACATTTAAACAAAATGCTAGATGTGAAAACGATATGAAAAATAAAGTAGTTCACTCTTGTGAACCGCCATAAGGATACAACAATTGTCTTTGAGATCAAATCGAGATAGACAGAAACGTAATGGTTATAGAATAATGATTCCGGTAAAAATATTATGAAAAATCATTGAGAAAAGTTAGAGGACGACTTTACAAATCATGGGTTTAGATTACGCCTGAGATTCATGAGAATTTCAGGTTCTAAAGTTTGCTTGTTACAGATTCTTTTTACAACATTACTGTTTAGCCTAATGGTCTACATGAAGGAAAAAAATAATATAAACTATCAAGTGTATGTAAAGAAATCAAATTTATTCACCAACGTGCTATTTTGAGCTCCACACTATCGTCTTTTAACATTTGAGATCGGCTCACAATAAAGTTCAAGCATGATAATACGAGCGAAATCTCAAAGAAAAATCCACACATCCCGAGTTTATATATATATATATATATATATATATATATATATATTAAGCAGATAATGCCTGTAAAGTGGCACGAATTCTAAAAATAATAAATTCACAATGCATGTCAAACTATAGGAAAAGATAGATGGTGGTTAGCAGTGGAATCAAGGACTTGCGTTTTGTCTTTTTTGGGACTCGTCAGCTGGATGTACCTGCATCCCAGATTAGATGTTCAATCTGGAACCAGAACCCTGTACTGTCCGCTTCAAACGCCATCGCGTTATCCACTTAGCCACTGAGTCCTGATAGCCACGTGCTTGTGCAATGGGATGAAGATACAAGTAAAACAACACAAGGGTAATTTATATCATACTGCATTCTATTATGTAGTATTGTATCGATCATCACAGCCAAACACTGCACACACGCGAATCACTCTTCTGGCACACAATCGAACTGATCAACCACTTTCAGATGTCCCGCTGCAACTGTCAGTGTCACAGCTTCCTACATCATCCGATAATACACAAAGTACTTTCACGTCAATCTGTTTGATTTTCTTTTGTTTACAGAGCCTGGGGGACATAAGATACAAGATCACCTCCTAGTACAACCTCGGGAGTAGCAACATTTCTGTTGCTGGGCCGTGTAGCAACCCGATAGTTTGGATGAGCTGGTCCTACGTTTGTCGGTTGACCAGGCCTCAACGTCTAAGGATAACTTTCTTCAAATTGTCAAAAGGTTCAGAAACATCACTAGTAAAAGTACTAGGTGTTACGTAACGCCTTCACTACTGCCAGGAATTGTGCTTAGAAGTCTAGCACACTGTGCTCGCGGAAGTCAACTTCTGCGTAGCGGAACCAGTCTTTGATATAAACAGACCGAAATAGCATAAGTTGTATAGTACTTACTTACTTACTTACGCCTGTTACTCCTCGTGAAGGAGCATAGGCCGCTCACCAGCATTCTCCATCCAACCCTGTCCTGGGCAATCCTTTCAAGCTCTTTCCAGTTCTTATTCATCTTTTTCATATCTGCTTCTATTTCCCGACGTAATGTGTTCTTTGGCCTTCCTCTTTTCCGCTTCCCTTCAGGATTCCAAGTTAGCGCTTGTCTCGTAATGCAGTTTGATGATTTCCTCAATGTATGTCCTATCCATTTCCATCGTCTTTTCCTAATTTCCTCTTCAGCTGGAAGCTGGTTGGTTCTCTCCCACAAAAGGCTGTTGCTGATGGTATCCGATAAGTTGTATAGTGGGGGAGTAAAAATCTTAATCTTTATAAGATTTGATGTCTACTTTGTTATTACGAGGACAAAAGGTACAAATAGAAGAAAACAATCCGACAGTATTAGAAGAATATCACAAAACAGTCTTACAGTTTATCGTTTGATGCACCAGATCACGTCAACTCATCACTGAAGATGCCACATATATTCAGGGTCTATGAACGTTTTATTTGATTGAGGGACACCAAACTAATCAAATAAGCCGGAAATGAAGATATATTTAGAAAGTTTCGGACGTATTGAAAAACGTTCAATTTAAGCTGACCAGTAATTGAAAGGGATGTGTAGCGTTGTGTTTTTACTCGTGATCTGATGTGGATATGTCACCGAGCGCCCTCAGCTATGGTGTGTCCAGTAAAACCAATGAGGTCTATGACTTACAGAACTATTTATCCTATTGATTTATATATTGCTACGGCCCACTTTCTCCAACAGCGATATGGTGACAGGGATAAAATATGATCAGCTAGAAGCTTAAACTCAATGGTCTTGGTGATGGTGCAATGTACCCACGTACTTACTAACGCCTGGTACTCAAAATCTCCAGCCCACTCCTGTGTCTTCTTTTGTAGTTCCGTCCAACTGTCGCTCTTTTCTCGCATGTTTGTTTATATTGCTCGGTGTAATTCCTTCTTTGTTCTTCCTCTTCTCTTTTATACCTAAAGATTCCAAGTAAGGGATTGTCTCGTAACTCAGTCGAGTGCTTCCCTCAATGTACCAGTAAACTATTTACGAGGAAAATTTCTGTTTATCGTGATCGACGTCGAGTTCTTATCCTTCCTAGTCCTAGAAAAAGAAAAAATGAAAATTTATATACGTTTTACGAGTGGAAGGGTCTCAATCTATTGCGATAAGTTTTCAGCTGAGTGTGAAGCTTTCAACTGTCGTTGAGATTATTCTTCCAGCCCGTCAGATTGTAACTTGTCATTCAGATTCACCAGGTTCTTAGGAGTGTGGCGGGACAACGGAAAATTCCAGATTTGATTTAGTGTCCACGGCCTATGTTAATGGTTGGAAGTAATTGAAGTTCTGTGCACATCGTCGGACAATGGCGTAGACCATTGTTTCAGCGGTAATGTCCTCGATAGATAGTGTTCATGACCATCGTGTGAAACAGCTCACACACGTTAAGGGGTAAGAGAATCCGAATTTAATCTGGTTAGGGTCCTACAAAATCACGATTAACATGGTTGAAACAAGCATCTCTAGTTTTGAATGAGCCTAAGATGCATTTGTTATGTCTAATCACTTTAGATTTCTGGCTGCTTAATCAGGAACGCTTTTTCATACCAGGCCAACAAAATAGTTCTGAGATGAGCTTGATGTTCTCTTGAACATCTGAATGAGAAAGCTTGTGCGTCAATAATGTTTCCGCAATATTGGACTGACCCTACCCGAAGATGTGTCACATATTAACGTTTCCTTGCCTGCTATCAACTGTTTGAATCGTAGTTTCAAGGAAGTTGCACGCGACAAGGAGCCGACAACTGCATTATATGCTGTAGAAATGTGTTGTACACCTGATGTAAACAGCGAAATGTAGCCTAGTAGTCGATACTCTCGAGAGCAGTACTTGTTTGAAGACGAGCTTAAAGTAAAGTTAGGGATTTAATGCCGGTAAACAGAGTAAATTACTGATCCTTCGCAAAATATTGATAGTGCCGTATAGTACAATACATGGCTAGGAGTTCGCTACTAAGAGTTCTTCACCTCGATTCAATGTCTTGTAATCACTTTGAGAAGAGGGCCAGAAGTCGCCATGTAAAGTCTGCCCACATTTGTAACACTCCGAATGCCGCCTTGGATGCGTCTACAGAGATACTAATGTGTGCTTTGATGTCCTGGTGTGCGAGTATACTTATCTTTGCAATAACTTTTTTGACGGCGGAGAATGCATTTTCCCATTGTCATCTAAATTGATGTTTCGCATCTATACGAAGTTGGTCTGTTAAAGGTTTCATGAGGGACCATTGATAGAAACTTACCAGGACGTTGAACGTACGTCATCGCTTGATTATGGTCTGTTCTGGGTTATCCGTAATGGTCATTAATTTGCTTTGCCGAGTGATAGTCCAGATGCAGAAGGTGAGGTTCTCTATCTAAATTTGCAATCAAGCAGTCATCAACATACTCGTCAATGAAGTAGAGACCCCTGCATGCATCATACATGATTTTGGCTATGCGCATTATCCAGATGGATTTTTCGGGGAACAGTCGTTCATTTTCCCGAGCAGCATGTATTGATGATAAGATCGATGATTTGAATCCACCCATGTTTAGTGGGCAGAAAAGTTTTTTTCCCGGGCTCTTTATGATACGAGACGAGTAGATCAATCAGCGCACTGTGGTTGTTTTTGTACGCTCGCTACTCAAACTCATGTTTCAACTCTATTCTGGATTCGACATTCCTTTAATAGTACCTATAACTTGTTAATCCAGGCTTTTACTTCATGACCAAGTGGTTGTTAAGAGATCAAAATATGAGAATAATAAAAAATAATGGTTAATATAAGATATGGTTAGTATCATCTCTTAAGACTTTACTCTCTTTTGGTGCACTCTCAGTCTTGATGAAGAGCCTTCTCAGTTCTAACTACGAGTTTACCTCCATCATTCGAAGCCATTCCAATTCGTTACACATCAAAACTTTTTGTTATTTATTAATGTATTCTTCCATATAATTACTTGTTATGCACAATCCATTCTAGTAATGGCAGCTTGTTTGAGTTTCGCCTACTAGGTTGCCATTTCAGGCTGATAACGTGACATCCGTTTAAGTTAATGCTTCACTAATCATACAGAAATGTGAAAACTGTCTCTCACTTGATTGGTTTCCCTACATCAAATCGTGTATAGATACATATTGTCTTTCCTAGATTGTTTTATATCCTGATGGGAATAATGAATGGTAACTGTTGGAATCCATTTCTGGACTAATGGTATACATATATTTTCATTGTATAAATACTAAGTAACTAAACGATCCATATCCGTGTTCCTCTTATTATAAACTTAGTATTGATCTATGAATAATTGTTATACAATTTACCATTTCTGAGTTATGCTCAATCTGTAGCGTGGAGTCGAGTCGCGATTGACTATGAACACCATTACAAGAAGACTATTTGCCAGCTAAGCAATAAGATCCCCGTAGGTCAATATCAAAAGGCAGACGATGGCTGTAGTCGAGATGTATTTGTTGGCGATCTCATGGTATCGAAAGAATACCTAGATCGTGCCAAAGGAGTG